GAGGTGTCCTTTACAGGCAATACACAAATACATGGGTTTCCAAACAACTAAGAGCTGTGAGAAAAGGGAAAGGAAGGAAAAAAACTCTTACCAGAAGCTCGAACCTGCCCTGGACATCCTGGTTTGAAGCCCCATGTTTTCAATTATGCCTCCTGAATCTACATGGATGCTAACATGTTTGCATTGCTGGCTTTCATTTTATTTTTTCACAAGTCACTGCAGGACAGCAAAGTAAAAAATATACTATTCTGATCAACAGGACACATCTGTGGTGAATCCACACAGAAGCAATTAATTTCCTGGTGGTATTTTTACACTGGGGGCCTAATGCAGGCCCCCATTATACAAACAAAAACTCCAGAGAGCTCCTGCCGCCTGATAAAAAAATAAATCAGATTGCAGAGGGCTGTGAGGCCTAGGACTGCTACAGGCTATGACTTGTAATGAGGCATCCCAACACTAATTATGAAGCTTATTAAAGAGAATTGTCGAACTTGTACTAAAGTGCACGCTGTAATCACGTTACAGAAGGCAGTCCTCGGAACAAGCAGCCTGCAGTCACCTTGCTCAGCAGACTGGGCCGTGCAGGCATCGCCAGGGCGTGGATCAAATCACAGGAACAGTCTTATTGTGTTTGGCAAATTGGTCAGGATAAATTCGATAGAAGAGCAGGTGAGAATCACAACAGCTTGGGATGATTCACACATCAGATTCTCCCCCACCCACTAACATTTGGAAGAGAAGGGTCCGGGACACCGTCAGGGGCACACATCGCCAACGCAGTATTTTATTATTAAGCTTATTCTGAATCTTCTCAAAGGTTGGAAAAGCAGTATTTCAATGTACTCTTTCAGGAGGGAAGGAGAAAAAAGATTAATAAAGATGTTAGAAAGCTGAACTGCTGTGAGATTTGTTTAATTATTCCCCACAGGACTGCCCCCGCAATCTGCTGACATTTAACCCCAACCTTGCAAATCCTCAGTAAATATTAATATATCAACTCAAACAGGGACCGTTGTTTTATTGGTTCACGGAGCTCGGAGAGATTCGCCACAGCAGTGAAAAATAATGTGCACAACTGAGGAAGACCGGCTTCTTTGATTTCACCTTCTGCTGCACACATGAGCTGGGAGCATCAACAAAATGGAAATGCTGTTACTTTGCACAGCTGTAGAGTGACACTTCAGATGCCTTCGCTTCCCTTTGTACAGCCTGCTGGAATAATCCCAAAACCACAGTGGCAAGAGATTAGAAAGGAGGCAGAAGGGGAGACAGAGAGAGGAGAAATCACACTTTATTATCTGGAAGAGTGGAAATTTTAATAATGCAGAAGGCCCGCCCTCCAATCTGATCAGCTTTGCCAGAACGGTGGGCCCAGGATGGGGGTCAGGAAGGGAAAAGCCGCCCTGGCAGCCCCGGGACTCCAGCCCCTCCTCCCGCATCAGCCCTGCCTGCCCTCCCTGACCCAGGGCCACACACCCCATGTGCATATCTGAGAATGGAAATGGCCTGCTTTGGTTGAGAGTTTGCTAAAAGAAAAAAAAAAAAATACTGGTTGCTTTTTAATGTTGCCGTGTGTTTGGGTGTTAAGGAGGGGAGGGGAGCGGGTGGTGGTGGTGGAGGCATTTTTGGAGGGTTTTTCTTTTGGGCGGGGGTAGCTCAAACTTAGATACCTTTTATTTACTTATCTTCTCATAAATACTCTGAAATTCCTAATGGTTGAATGCTTGCTGTGGGCCAGGGAAGCCTCCAAATTCTTGGGTGTAAGAAAGAGGGCTTCAGGTCCACATTTGGCTCTCAGATGTACTGTGCTGCAGAGTTTAATGCGTGATTAATTTTATTCATAAAAATGTTAATCACTTCATTGTGAGATCTTTTTAACATTCACTGCAGAGAGCACCTGTTTTGATTTCTCTTGCTCACCATCTCACAGATGTATTTAATATTTTCAGTCATTGCTGCAGCTATCCAAGGCTCTGGCAATTAACCATACGTTTAAAATTCAGCAAAGATACAGCAAAGTTAAAATTCAAGCAAAGATACAGCAGCGACAAACAGCAAACAGGAAAAGACAGAGAAACACACACACACACACACACCCCAAGTGACCGGCTGGGGAATCCTGCAGATTGTCACCCCGCTATCAGGGCGTCCGCAGCCTGGGTGACCTTCCAGAGCGCCGCGCTCACAGGTAGATCATAATAAACACGCGCGCAGAAACCGAGCTGGCTTTTTCCCTCATCGAAAGGGCTGTTTCAAACGGGAATCGGAATTTAAAATAAAAGCCCTTCAATTTGGAAGATTTCACCGGCCTTGGCGTCCCTCCCACCATTGCGTTCTGCCTGAGGGCGTGGGACCCGTGGAGGGTGGGTCGTGGCTCAGCGTCTAGGGTGGGGCGCGAGGAGGGTGGCGCTAGCTGAGTGCCCGAGCTCCCCCCACCCCCCACCACCTCCTGCCATTGTGTCCCCGCACCCAGCCATTGCTCTCAGGACCCTGGATAAATGGATTAGGGGATCAGAGACACCCGCTGCGTCTTCAGAAGCCCAACAGCAGCCGCGGAGAAGGCGGCCACTTGTGCCCCGCCCGAGGGGAAGGAGGAGCGCTGACTGCTCGGCCTCTTCCCAGGGTCGGCCTGACCCTCCTCACTGCCCAGAAAGGGCCAGGGCCGGCCTTTGCTCGCGGAGGGGCGCGGGGTTCAGGCGCGGGGTTCAGGTGCGGAGCTGGGGCGGCGCGGAGGGGAGCTGACTCCGGGGCGCGTGCTCCACGTGCTCACCATTCAGGCCCACAGCCTGGGATCCTGCTGCGCGGCCGAGCCCTGGGTCCCAGTTGCTTGGCTTGCCATGGCTTGCCACCCAAGCGCGCAGCTCCATCCCTTGCTCCCTCCCGGGTTCAAGGCCTCCTTTTCTCTGCCTCTTAATTTAGAGCAGTCCTAACATTTCAGGTTGCTCCTGAAGCCTCCTCAGTCCCAGGCCACGTGGTGACTTCCGTGGGCCTAAGACAGACACCTTCTCCAGGAGAAACTTATTAAAAATTTTGTTTTACTACTCCATAGGTATAAAGATAAATATATTGATATACATTAACACATTTTCTTCGACCCAAAAATTACAGGGTATTTTTATGGAAAAAAAAAAAAAAAAAAAAACATTTCCCTGGGCCCCTCAAAATACCCGGGGCCCCCAGGCCCAGGGCTCGCAGTGCTGATGTCACCGGGCCGGGACTGCCTTGGCATCTGATCCTGTCCACGCTGGCCCTAAGAGGTCCATTTTCAGACGTCATTCTGGGACGAGGGAAGGGGCCCAGCCGCCAGTCGCCGGGTACAAAAGGCGGCCAGCGGTCCCCGCGGGATGACCTTGGCAGGCCTCTCAGCTCAGGAGTCATAATTGGAGCCGCTGGCTTGGTGGGGAGCGCTGGAGAAGACCTGGAAAGCCTGGCCTCTCCCTGGAGCCGCCCCTATTGCTCCGGGGCTGTCCCTGCGCTGGGGTGGGCGGCCAAGGCACAGAAAACGTCTCAGAGTGGGCAAGGCGGCTGGGTGCCCTGAGTGGGGTGCGCTTCTTCCACACATCCACGCATCCCCATGCTCGCTGGCTCAAGGGATGCCTAAAGGTGGGCAGGCTTTTTAATTCCCCCAGAATGCACCCCCTCCACTGTTTGTTCTGCCCTGTCTCCTGGCCCCCAACTTGGACTTATGGCCCCAGGGCCACCCCACATTCCCTCCCCACCTGGTGCGACATGCTGACTTGGGGGCCAGTGAGATGACAGGGCCCTCTGTGGGGACAGAGAAGTCACCAGGCACTGGGAGCACACTCAGTGTCCGGCTCCCCAAAGCCTCCCTTGCCTTTCCGGAGGGCTCAGAGCCTGGCTGACTCCTGTGGCAGTGCTGGGTCCTGCAGTGTGGCCCGTGTTGCAGAGGCGGTGGCCACTGACCACAGGAGGTTCCTCTGGCCTTGCAAGTTCTTTCTGCAAGGAAACCACGAAGCTCCGCTCCTCCGTGGGGCCAATGCTCCCCCAGCCTTGCAGATGACCCTCCCTAGGCTCTGCTACCTTCCCTTTTTTTCCACCTCCAACTTGCAGTCCCCACCAACAAACAAGGCCCTGTCGTTTTGAGAAGGGCATTCAGTGGTCCAGTCGTCCCAAGTCGAAGTTCACAAACCCCATCTCCATTTGGATCCCCCAACCCCACCCTAGACCCTGCCTCTGTGAGAAGAGGCGACCAGTGACCCACTGGCATCATGGTTGGGGAGGCGGGGGAGGTGGAATTAGGATTCCCCTCTCAGGCAAGAAGTTCAAAAGCAGAGAGGACAGGGCCTGCCTGAACCCTCCACGTTGAAAGGCCAAAGGCCAGTGCCTGTCCCAGGTACCCCTGGGTGCTACAGCCCACCCTGTTCTCTCTCCTTTCTGCCTCCCTCCCTCACTCCAGCTTCCTTGCTCCCTGGCAGAGTCCCATCTACAAGGACGACTGAAACTTTATAGGGCATGATTCATCGGTGGCGCACCCCTTGGAGCCGAGGCGCATATTACATTAATCAGTGTCAGACCACTAAAACCGAGATATGAATATGAATTCTCCATATTGCAGGCGAGATAAATGTGCTGGTGAATGTAATTGATCGGAGGACAGTGGGCAGGATGGTGGCAGCAGGGAGATTTCAGAGACTCCAGCTCAACCTTTGTGCTGGGGGCTGCCAAGGCTGTAACACAGAATGCAGGAGCCCCGGACCAGATCTGTGTCTTGTTCCTCCCCCCCCCCCGCACACACAACCTCCAGAAAAAGCCCTATATAACCAGAAAAGGGAACCTGGAACAGAAATAGGACACCCATTTCTGATGACGAGGGGAACCCTATGTCTGGAAATTAGTCTTGTGGACAATCTCCCCTTAGTCTGTTCAGGGACTGTCTCCTCCCTGCTGGCCAGAGAGCAGCTGCCACCTCTGAAACCGTCCTGGCCACTGCTGAGGTAGGGAAGCCCCCTTTCCTCAGGCAGAAAGCTCCTCCAGAACTAACAGCGCTTTGCTTTCAGAAGCAAAGGATATTGTGGATTTTCTACGTCCACTCCAGATTTTTCAGGAGCTGAAGCACCAGGCACGTGGGGTGCTTCCATGGGACCCTGCACACCTAGATGGCTCCCATGGCTGGAAAGATGTAAACATATAGTGCACAAAGGACAAAAATGCCTTCAATGCTCCATTACAAATTCATTTCTAACTTTTCACTGGAGAAAAATAATTCCGAGGCTGGCGATCTGGTTTCCTTGTATGGAAAACCTAGCTCTCAGGAAGGTGCACAGACCATTCATGGACTCTAGGCCACTGCGGCTCAGTAGCCAGGACTCCCAAGGATGAGCATGTGCTGGCCGAGCTACCTCAGCAGCAGTTCCTGTGGGGGTGGGGGGGG